TTTTTTTTTTATTTATAGAAAATGTATACGTTATTTTACATGTATGAAATTTTATTTTACTTGGAACTAAAAAATGATGACAGTATACTTTTATATATACATTTAATGCACAAGAAAAAAATTAAATGTTTCATTATTATTTTTATTGTTATAATTATTATGGTTTACTTCAACGTTGGTGTTATTTTGAGTAAACGATGATCAATATCGGGCTCTATTTTAGTAACTCTTAATTTGAACTAACTTTCTACGTTCAATTTATTTCTACAATTATTTTTTGTATTGAATAAGTGGGAGAATGTATTTTTGCATAGATATGTTGACACAAAAGGTATTAGAAATCGTAAAATTTGTGAGGATAACGCTGCATGTATTTTTATTTCACGTCCAGTAAAAAATTTGAGATCTTTTTGGTTTTGAAAGCAATTTTTAGAGCAAAGTCGCTTGTTAGGTCAATGAAAGATTATTTTGCCAAAAAACATCTGGAATGTTCTCAATACATCTTAGCCTTCGAAAGAGGTTATGATCCATTTTATTTCTGAGTTATACTCAGAGAAATATAGTGGAAAATATAAGATTTTAGTGATTATAGATGTTCCGAAATGTCTGTAATTATATTTTAATTTGGCTGAATTTAGCTGTCTTCTTAAAATTTGTTTAATGTCTTGAATAATAAAAAGCGATTCTTGGATACTTGCGAAATAAATAAATCCAATTTTCTCACTAGTACATTAACTTTATCATTAGCATATATATGTTCGTGTTTGAGCCTTTCAGACTCATAATTAGAACAATAAAACGGTCAAATATGTCAGTAATTTACGATTGTCTTGACAGCTATTCGTTATCGCAAAATAATTTGGACTTTTTTTCGTCAATATCAGTCAAATGTAATAAAACTTTTTTTATAAAGGGATATGTCCTTCGCATACCACCTATGAGCTTTACATGTACGATTAGTGGTACGCGTATCACAGGTTGAGAAGTGTTGGTATAAGTAATGTCTATATGTGGCTGATTACAAATAAAGGAGGGAAGTAAAGATTTGAGTTGACGATAGTATCAACCCTGAATATATGATCGAATTCATGGTTAACAAAAAAGCCAACTGGGATGTTATTGATGGTTTCATCCAGCTAGTCATGAAGAAAAAAGAAAATGAAAGAGAAGTACAAGCAATACAATGTATATAAAAACTTAAATTAATATATTGTTGAGGGTCGACGATCAAAATTCAGAGAATAGAGGTTTTTGCTACATTTAACATAACTTAAGAAACTGATGTATCATACTAAATGATTTTATAGAATAAATTATGGTAGTTGGAGATGAAATGACTAGTGATAGTATTACCCCAGTCATCAATTCAAATATTAATAAAAAAAAAAAGGGTGTACAACGTTATATATTCCACTTCAAGAGTAATATGACACAGAAGCTAGCTAGCTTTATACATAGGTTTTTTATTCTATATTCTTTTTCAAAGGATACTAGGCGATAATCCCTTATAATAATAATCTCAAATATATAAATATCAATATAGGATGAGAATAAACTATTAAATGCCATTTAGTCAATGTGAGTTTGAGATAAAAAAATTCTTACATTTCATGGAAAAACTGGTAATAATCCGGTATGTGACATACCAAAATGGGTTTTTTAAGTCCTTGTACTAGTAAGTAATGATAACCATCAGTATCTGTTTGGAAATTACTGCTTAATGTCTGTCCTCACACCTATGGTATATTATATTTATTTAATCTATTATTTTAAATATATATATACCTATAAAAAATTTATAAGATTTTGGTTTTTAGTGATTTAAGTTTATCCTATACTATTTCTAGTGTGGCTTCATTTTGAGTAACTCATCATCATCATCTAATTAATTACTGTCTAACTTATAGTAATTAATTAGCACTTTTTTTATTTTATAATAAGCCAATATGTCATATGCAAAATAAAAATAAATATTTTGAGTAACTAATGGTTTTTAATCATATAGTATTCACTATAAGAGAAAATAATTACGCTTATGATTTTTCTTTATAATAACTACCTCAATTATCTACCTATTTGGCATAACCAAAATCTAAAACCTTCAACTTTTATCATTTTTGATAAACATATAATTATAATTATTTTGGGAAAATAAATAATTTTTTAATTTAGATATACTGTTATATTTAATAATATTTTCACCTCAAGTTGAGATATAATAATAAAACATATTTATTTAAGAATATATTAGTTATAACTTATAGTAATCAAAATATGAACAGTATCAATTTTTAAATAGTACAATACTTAATTAATATTTCATCAAATGTGATCAACATTTTACTAATTAAGTATTTATTAATATAAGTAAAATACAATATTTTTTTTAATTGTTACAAGAAATAACATTAATAGGTTTTTGATAGAATTAATTAAATATTTTATATAAAGAAAAAAAGAAAGACTGGTAAATAATATTAAATATTTTGTTAAAAAAAGGAAAATTTGAAGTATATTTAATGAAATGTATATTAATATTTCAAGTTTAAGATCGTAATAATAAACATAAATATATACAATATTTGACTAATAATTTTGGTTACTTCTCTGTTGGCTGTAATAGGTTTGCCCATTATGACCTCTACCTCTTTTTGAGTATCCGCGGTTAGTTGTATCTGCAGAATTATTACGACTATAATCTCTATTATCACCATAATATTGATCTTGGTTATTTCTGTTAATATGTTGAGTATTTTGATTCCATTGTCTGTCATTTGATGTATTCTGGTATCTATTATCATCATATCTTGAATTTTGATAAACCCCTTGATTATAACTATTTCTACTATCTCGTCCTTGATAATTTCCAACTTGGTAATCTTGTGACCGATTGTTGTTCCAGCTTCCTTGCACACGTCCTCGTCGATTGTTTTGATATGAATTTCTATTTTCATTGTCAACACTGATTGATTGAAATCCATCAGTCATTTGGTAAACATTCGATCCACCTCGATTACCAGCATATAAGTTTCTACATGACTGATTGTCTCCAATTTGTACACCTCTATTAAACTGTCCACTACCTGGACTATTAAACTGTCCTGCACCACAACTATTCATCTGTCCTCCTCTATTCGATTGACCACCTCTATTACCTTGTGATTGTGACCTTTGCTGCCAACTTGGCATTTCTGGAGGAGGTGCTTGTTGCTCATTAGGTCTTCCACCTCTATCAGGTACTTGTCCAATCATTACTTTGTTTATAGATGAGTTTGTATTTTGAACAGCTAATTTACTAGAAGTTTTTTCAACAATTGCCAAATCTTCTCTAGCAGACAAGAAATCAGAGGTAGAAAAACTAGGTAGTTTGTTTATTAAATTTAATTTGGTTTGGTAAATTTCTTCTAATTCATGTTTTTTATTTTTCATCCTATCAGGCCATTTAAACGACTGAACTGTTACATCAAGTCTTGTAAGCAACATTGTACGTCGTATGTTATATTCTTCATTAAGAAGTTCTATTATATTATTAATGTATTTCCATTGTTCACTAGAATATGAACTACAAACTAATGACTTTCCAATTAATGCAGGGGGAACAGTGTTTAAATGATCTTGTAATTTTATAAATATTTTATTAAATAGAGAAGAAGTATCGATATTTAGGGGAGGTTTAGGACATTTTAAAGTTATTAAGATGTCTTTAAGACTCTTAGATGCATTGCTTTCAATTAATGTTACTTGCATATTAGATTTTTTATTAGTTTTGTTAGCATTTAATATTCGAGATGCTCTTAATTCCCCAATCAAATAATCTAATAATAATAACTTATTTTCCTTAGACTTTAAACGATTTTCAAAATGACCTGCAGTAAGAGCCTTATAAGAGCAACCACATTCTTTTAAGAAACTACTAACCTCCAACAAAAATGAACTATAATCTGATTCTGAAGTTATAGAATTCACATATTCTTCTTGTTTTGATAGAATCTGAATTTCTTTGGTTATCCATTCAACTAGTTGAGTATATTTAATTGATTTTGCTTCACCATCAATGGACTTTTTAAATTCTTTTGAAGAAATAGTTGTTCCTAAATTTCTTAAATCTTCTAAAATTAATACTTCCATAATAGTTCACCTACAACATTTTTTTTGTTAATTTTTGATTATAATGCCTATAATAAATGTGAAAGCTATACTATTATTTATTACACAATACGCCATTAAAATTAAAAATTGTAGTTTGATGTAACTAATAATCGATAGTATTCATGATTGAACCATAGAAAAAAAGCATCAGACATTGTATGGAAAAAAAGAAGGCAATATGATGTAAAATGCAATTTTAATAAATTTTAATTTAATTTCAATTTTCAAAATTTTGTAATCATATTGAATTAAAAAATAGTGAAAATCCTAGTTTAATAGTAAGATACAAAGATGAGTGAATAAGTCAATGAACCTTTAATTTTGAAAAAATGATTCCAAGTAAAAGAAGTTGAGTGATTATTAAGTTTTTATATCTAAAGATAGTTGATATAAAAGAAGGACCAAATATCAGATTAAATATAAGATAAGCTAAACTTTTAATATTTTAATTTTCATAAAAAAAATGGTATTTAAAAGTTTGGGAAAATATCAAGTGTTTATTATTAGAAATGCCTAACAGAACAATTTTATTAAAATATCTCAAAATTATAAAATGTCATTATTCTATGAAACCTATAGAATGGCCCTTATAATACCAACCAAACAACATTGCCAATCAAAAATCCGTTCTCAATGGTATATTAGAGCAATTTTTCTTATCGAAATCTTGTACACAGAAAAAAAGAATAGTGTATCGTAAAATAACATCCAATTATTAGAAGCGAGAGTTTGTATCTCAATCTGGGTTATAGTGTTTTTGTAATATTTTCCCTGTTTTTCTTAATTATCTGGAAACTGTTTAGAAATTGAAAAATTGAACCTTCTTAAGTAGCAAATAAAATAATATTTACTTAGCAATAATTGGACCAATTTTTCTAGTTGAAATTATGCACAGGCACGAAAAAAAAAAAACAACACTCATCTTGGTTAAACAAATACACTCTTTATTTTTTTCAGAATCAAAGATGTATTTTTTATTCAAAAAATACCTTTTTAGTCATAAAAAAAATAGATAATACCCATAATGTAAAAATTAATTTTATATTTTAAAAATTAAAACATAAGTTTGTATTTTATAATTATTAATAATTTATAGAAACAAATTTGTTAAAAATAGTATCATAATTTAGTAATAAAGTAATTTCTAAAGCAGTTGTAAGTTTTTATTTAATTATATTACCTACTACCTACACATTTTTTTTTTAATTAGTATTTTATTTTTAAATTATAATTTAATTCTAAATAAAATGTAGCTTATTCAAAATCATATAAAGGCTGTATCTAGACATTTTTTTTTTTGGGAGGATTCCAAAACATGTATATTGTAGTTTTATTAAATTGAACTTTTGATATTTAGTTAAAAATAAGACAGAAAAAGATTTAATTTTCTTTTATTAAAATTAATATCATATTTTCATATGATATTATGATATAAAATTAAAAGCATTCAATGATTAATTTGGAGCTTAAGTCATTTTTGACTGAAAATATTTATGTTAATATTAAAAATAAATAAGTATTTCAAACATTTGTAAAATATTGAAGAAATTTCGGGGGGATAGTCCAGACACCATGGACCCCCCCCCCCATATACGCTCTTGCATATAACTATAAACTATTCAGTTTTAAAGTATATCCAATTACAAATTTAAACCTACTACATGCACATAATATGTCATAATCAAGGCTCGGAACTTTAGGCATTTGCATATTTGTCTAGAAAGTGCATATTGAAATTCTGATTCAATACAAATTCGATTCATAGTATATATATTTCAGATATAAAAATTTTTGTTGCATAATTATGCATATTTTGTTATTTTTTGTAACAATTCGCATATTTTGGGTTTAAGAACATTTATATGCATATTTCATGGATTTAACAGAATTTTTAAAAAAAATGTATAGTTTAATAAAAAAATATTAGATGTATGACAACCAAAATACTAAGTTTTATATCGTTTGATAAAATACATTTATTCATCAATGACTTATTTGTATAGCTCCGGTTCCCAATGCACTTAACAATAATATCATAATCTTTATAGTACCGAGAACTCGTAATAGTGACTACCGCCGACCCGTATTTATTTTTATACAAATTTACCACTGTATTTTGTAACATAACATAAACAAATTGTATAACCATAGGTAATTCATAAACAATTATGTGTAACCATTAGGTTATCAGCTTATACACAATATTATTTCTGTTCGTTATAATACTGAATACATCTGCATACAAGCGTCTTCTTTGTACAGTGTACACTACAGTGACGTATAGAGGTTTTCATTTCGGAGGGGGCCGATTATGTATTTGACTTATGGGTGAAAGGGAAGGAGGAAGTACACTATTACGAAAAAAATTACTACTATAACTCTATAAGATTTCTCGACTGTCTTTACACCATCAGAGAAATAAGAAGCTTAATTTTTTTTAACGATTTATTATTTTTTAAAAGTATAAAACTACATTGTAATAAACAAATTTTTTATTAGTCACTCAAAATTCACCACATATTTTCTTAAAAGAATAAATATATTTTATAAATATAAAATTTTAAATTATCGCATAAGAAACATTCACAGTGTCACGACAAATTTTTGGAAACCCCCAGCATTAAGATATATCCATATTAAAAATAACAATCTTTAACAATGATGTTTTTCATTTCGGAGGGAGCCCGGGCCCTCTCGGTTCCCATAAATACGCCCCTGGTACACTAATCAGTAGTCGGTTTATTATTTTTTAAGCAATTATTTTCCAATTTTCTACTGCATATTATACCGCATAATTTGATGTTTTTAACGCATATTTATACGCATATTTTAGTATTTTTTAGCGCATAAAGTTCCGAGCCTTGGTCATAACTGATATCAATAATTAGTGCTGAAAGTAGTTTACAGTTTTTTTTTGTCCAACATCATTTCAGATTTAACATGTATGATAGTATAAACTAGTATTATTACTATTATTATTAAACTGAATTGAATACAGTTTACACACTTAAATGTTTATGAACTAAATTTAACTAAGGACAAATTTATAATTTATAATTTATAATCAATGATATGTTATTTAATTATTTTCTTATTACAGTGAAACCTCGATAAGTCTAAATTTAAGGGAAATTCATATTTTCCACTTATCAAGGTTTTTACCTTATTAAGTTTTTGAGTTACCAAGGTTTTTATGAAAACAATTTTTATTTAAAGAGTTTTTAAAGTGTATTATAGTTTTTATTTATTATATAGTATATATGTTACGGGTAATGTTAACAATTGGATAATGTCGACATTATCCGGCTAATGTCAACATTAGCCAGCTGTTATAGCTAATGTGTAATTTTTCGTTTATAAGCAAGAATTATTAACATTAACCAAATAATGTTAATCTCTCAACCAGTCAATATTGGGCAAATTGGGCATAATTGGGCAATTTTTTAAAAGTTGTATATTAAATAGAATATAGAGTTTTTATTAGCATTTTATAGAAAAATAAAGCGTCAGACTTCCAGAGTATAATATTTTATCTTGACTTGTAACCGAGTTAGTCAGTTATCTTACCGATTTAGTGAACAATATATCAATATATCGATGTATAAGTGCAAATCTTCTAGCATTTTGTGCAATTCAAAATGTCACGGAAGCATGCCATGTAATAATAAAGGTTAAAACATTAGCATTTTAATTCTATAGGTACTTAAAATAATATTTTAAGAAATAATTTATAATATAAAATGAAATTCAATATTGTATCATTAGTAGGTTAGATTATTAAAAATAAAAAATAAATTCATATTAATTATATTATTTATTTTATGGTAATTACTAATTTATTGTATGTTAAATATATTTAATATTGTTAAAACGTTATCCAAAAGTTCTTGGCTAATATCATATTATCCGATTAATGTTAACATTAGCCAACATTTAATAATATTCATGGCGGGTAATGATAACAATTGGCTAATGTTGACTTCAGCCGAATAATGTCGACATTATCCAAATGTTAACATTACCAGTAACATATACATATAATTAGTGTCTAATGTTATTAATATTTTAAGATAACTAAAAATAATATAATAAAAAATGTGTATAGTATTGCAATATAATAAATAATTTGTTATCTCACTTTTAGTTTAAGAGTAGCAAATTAATCCAGAATGTAAGGGTTTTAGATTTTTCTTCCAGTAATCAAGGTTTTTGCAATGAAATGGTATTATTTCAACTTATCAAGGTTTCATTGTATTAATTAAATAAGGTTTTTCATTAAAATATTTCAAATGAATAATATTGTTAAAATGTTTATTGATTTTTATTAACTTAAGTTTCTGAACAAGTTACATACTGCACTTAATATTTACTTTAATAAATAATTCAGCCGATATTGTATTATTGTTGTTGACTTCATATTTTTTTTAAAAAAGTACACTTACCTATTTGTTTTAGTTATTAATTCATCTGTAAAAAAATCTACTTAATTAGTTAAATTTGATAAAAATTTAACAATAATAAATTATGGAGGAAAGATGAAAAGCAGTACAGAACAAGTTTGAAGTTATTAAATTAGTAAATACTACGAATAACTGTGAAATATTAAATATAACAAATCACGATTATGATTATAGAGTGATACATAGAAAAGTAATTGTGATCTTAACACTTTACAAATGGAATTCGATGATACCATTGAGGGAGATACTTTTAACCTAACCGTTTTTTATATCCTCCATGATGAGTTTATATCCTCCATGAAATTCTTGTGTTTTGTTTATTCGTGGGTGTAGCTATAACTGCAGTAGTGACAGCGGCAGCCAAGTGCTGATCAATGTATTATCGGTTTTTACTTATATTAAATTCGTATTAAATGTAATTTAAGTTAATATTATTTTCTAAACTTAATTACTATCGAACCTAATAATGTTTAATTTAGTGACTTGGATAAGTAATATAATAGTAATTTAGGTAAGTAATTACAATATTTTATCAAACTTAATAAAATAGGAAAACATTCAAAAGGATTTACCTAGGCGTAAACGCAGTAAATTATAAAAATCGATTTTTTGTGTATGCAATCGTATAAATCACGCACAACTAAAACGTAATATTTATAACTATGTAAGTAAATCGTATCAGATGGGTCTTAACGGTTTTTAATTTTCTCTAAGAAATATTTTTCATCTTATATATATATATCTATTGTTAAATTGGTTTAAAATGTCATGGGGGTAGAGGTCATTCATTCATTCATGATATTTATGAGATACTAAATACAGATTATGAAGTATGTATCCTTCAACTGTAATTTACTAATAAATTAAATTCTAAGTTACTGAAGCTATAAACTTATGACTGTGGTGCTATTGACCTACTAGGATAATGATGTTACATTAGTAATTTGTCTAATGTTCATTCTAGCTTTAGCTACTTAATGGAATTCAATATACTCTTAGTTTTTTACAGCAACTGTTATAATTTCAAAAATTTTTAGAATTAAAATAAATATATATCGTACAGAATTTTATTTTTTATTTTTTATTAAATTAAATACTTTATTGTATAAAAAAAAGTTAAAAAAATTTAAATGTGGTCTCATAACAATAAGATAGATGTATTGATCTTCAATTTAAATTTCTTTCCAGGAATATATTAATACATGGTATGTATACTTATTAACAATGCAGGTTCTATTTTCATGAAAATCAATATTATTGTATTTCATTCCTGAATTGTTATATATAAACTTAATAAACATATACTATAAGTTTTTAGTAATTATAAATCTCTTGTGTTATTTATTATTTTATTGATGTTTATACAACATTAAAATGTGTTATCTGGGTAAAACAGTGTACTAAATCTAATATTTGTTAAAATGTATTTACTTCTAAAAAAATATAGTATTTTATGATAATATAATAATAGTCAAACCATATTTATGTAATTATTAGTCATTCAACTTTTGTTCTAAATAATACTTCTTCTTTTGTGGCTTTTATAACTTGAGAGTTTCTGCTGCCAAAATAACATTGTGCCATTAATTCCTGTCATTTACAATTTCTCTCCGTGCATCAATTCCCTTTTCTTTTAGATCTTCCATTGAATTGATCCACCTTTTCCTAGGTTTTCCCTGAGGTCTCTATCCAAGTGGATTGCATTACTGATTTGACTATATTGTTCTCCTCTCTTCTCATAATGTGAAAAAAAAATAATACTATAAAGTTTAATTCATTTCTAAAGAATAATGAAGTATGTAATATTTATTCATAATCCTTTTTATTAGTTAGTCTCTTCTACTAAGGGTATTAGAGTTGGAATTATTTATATTTTAATTAAATTAAAGATTTCAATATTAGTTAATATAATTTTTGTTTTATTTAATATCACAATAAAAATAAAAAACTTTTCTTTTCTTTTTTATTTTATGCTTCTTATTTGATTAATATTCCTATTCCAAATTCAGTTATGTTCACTTAGATTTTATGATTAGTAGACAATACCTTTTTAGTATGTTCAATTAACATAATAATATGATAAATAAATAAAAATAATACAACATGAATTAATTTGAAATACTAATACAAAAAAATAGACATGTTTATATCAATTCAAAACAGTTATAATATTCAATGATAAAAAGTGTTTGAAGTTTGTATGTTAGGAATAAATACAATTATATTAAAAGATATGGAAATACATTTCTATATGTTACTTCTTGGTATACATATTTAATTTGTTATGAATTCTTGTAACATTGCCTTTATTGAATTATCTTTCATATACTCTTAATGAGTCATACTTTTTATCTGACTCAGAAAAGTGTTTTAGAATTATTTATTTTTATTGTTTTTACTATCTAAGTCAGCAGTTCCCAAACTCGCAATAGTTCCTCAAGGGTCTCATTCGGTTTACCTTAGAAAATATAATAATGTAACAATTATTGATCGTTATTTAAAAAAATTATCATTAAATATTTTTACAAGACTTTATCAACTTTAATATAATTTATTGATACATATACAAACAATATTAATATATTTCGATAGGAAAATATAATTTTTTAATTTTAGTTAATGCATTCCCATTTTAGTTACTTCTTAGCCAGATATATTATATATAAATATAATATTAAATGTACACTATCTCGTTTTAGGTTTTTTCTTATATAAATATATATGATGTGTAATATACTTACTTCGTAGAATACAGGCAAATAAGACTTAATATTAAATATTTCTTGGGGCTCCACGATAAAATATAGTTTATAAAAAGGCGACTTTCAAAAAAGCCTAACATGGCTGAAAAAGATTGGGAATCGCTGATCTAAGTACAAAATAAATTATGACTTATTAATACATAGTGATACAGTATTTATACTGTAGTATTGTAATGTATGTTAAAAAAACAAGTTAGTTCTGACATTGATAACTTTTTTTATTGGTATATAAATAATTGTTACATATGTTATATCAATAATTGATTTTTAATTATTTATAAGAACTTGTTTAATTTTAAAATGTTATATAAATTATCTATATTTAAACAATTAATATATCTATTCTATGATTTTAATATATATTATTATTTATTAATAAGAATCTGTCTTATTTTTCAGCTTTTAATCAATATTTTTAAATTAAAAATATCTCAAAATGTATAAAACTTCCTGTCATTTGGTATACTCATCAATATTATTATTCTTTTTTATTGTATCTGCTACATCTTTAAGTAAGTATATTCATTTTTATAGTATTAATATTATTATCTCATTATAATATCTTAATTATAAGAAACTATATAATAACTGTTTTAGTTATTATTTATTTTAAGGTACTACTTAATATAATACTAAACATTTTTAATTAATTTTTATGAGCTTAAATATTATATAGATAATATAGCTATTTATTTTTAACTTTTTCTTTTTGAAAAAATAACTTTTATTATATGTTAATGTATCATACTAAAAATGTAATGAATATTGTTAATTTATTTTAAATTACATAATTTACAAATATTTATTTTTAAATGTATATTTGTATAAATTTAAAAAACAAAAAATGGTTTGTCTCATAATTTAGTGGTAATATTACCCAGTACCGGATCTTAACTTTTTAACTTCCGGGGAAAAGGAAAATCGCACTGTGGTAACCAGCTTTTACAATTTAAAATAAAATAATATAATTTTATTTTCTTACCCATTATTATATATTTTTTTATAAATATTATTTTGTAGTTATGACTTTTGTTTAAAAGTCCATTTTTAATTTAATTATTTAATAAGTATTGATAAAACCTTAAGAACATCCTTACAAAAATTATACGCCAGGGGATAAATCCTCGTTTCTCCCCCCTCCTAGATCTGGCCCTGATATTACCTAATGTAACTTATCCTTTGTGTGTTGCCTTTATTGCATTCAACAATGGTGTATAATATTAGATTTTTATAAATTCATTGGGTATCTGATAAATAATATTTGTATAGGCTACTTATATAACAGTGTTTTTATATTGCATGAAGCTATCATATTGTTTACAGAGTCCCAAGTCTTCTATCATACATTTAGTTGGGCAGTTGTTACATGCTTAAAGGTGTGCCATTGTCAGTAGTTAAACTGAGAAAAATTATGTAGTGGAGCTCAGTCCAACGATTTAAAAATTGCGTTCCGCATGCTCAATTATTTAACACAGACCTGTGGGGGGTTTTGCTCCCTACAACTCTCTCTACCAACCTTACATATATTTTGAATACCAATTTTCAGCTACACAAATATTTAAATTCTAAATATTAATAACATTAATAACCATAAACTGTTTAAAGTGTATACCGAATAATAACTATATACCAGACATTACTATTTATAGTTTTTCTGAAATTACAATGCCGTCGCTTAACATAACCACCATATAATCTTTTATTATGAAAATATAATTTCTAATGTTTTTATAGAGGTACTTAATGTTAATAGAATTATATTTATCATACATTCAAATTAATTTTCAACCAATTATATATTTTGTATTTTGCTAAGGTGAGGGTTGCCAAGTCGATGCATACTCTGTCTGCTAGTACGATTCTATCTATAACTGTGCTGTGTAGTCACTAGTTGACCGAACTAATATATGCTAGGCACTGATAATTGATAGCATTGATGATAAATAATTAGTATTTATAATCAATGGTGATAGTAATAGAGGAGATTAAATTTTGTGTGAATAAACAAATAGCAAAAATAGTTTTGATATTATAAATCATAATATTTGTTATATAATTGACATAAATTGAAATCCACGTATTAATATAAATTATTTTGGACATTAGTTAGACTCCCCCCCTCCCCGCTAATGTGAAAAATATGGTTAGTTACTATACTTAGATTATGTATTTGGTTATACTATACTTCCTGCTAAGTTGCTCTTCTGGTATTAGTTTTAAACAACCTTTTGTTATACGTACAGTCTCAATTAATGCAGTATTTACTTGTTTGATGTCTGTGATGAATACATAGTAAATATTTCACACCGAACAGACATATTCTGTCATTTAAAAACATAGTACCGTGGTTCTAACTGTTTCTAGTTAAGCTCCGTGTTTTGAGTAAACCAATTTTTGCAATAGAGTATTTTTAGCACATATTTTCTGTTGATATTATTTTTAAAATGATTCATTCAATTTTAAAGGTGAATTATAACTAGAGCCTGTATTTATATGCATTTGCATGTTTATACTAAGTATACGTACCTAGTGTCTATGGAGGTTTTAAATGTCCACAATTCATATTACACTGAATTTAAACACCAAATTTTATATTGCATATTTTGCATATTTCGAGGGTTATTGCATATTTGTTCATAAATGCATATAACATACATATTTAATGGTTTTTTAATAAATTAACTATTTTACTTAACAGTAAATTTTGTAATCTCCTCGAATAGAGCACGAATTGATATGATAGGTATTAAGTTTCAAAAATATTGTTTTTGTAATTTGTATTTTTTTTTTTAAGTTTTCTATTAGTTTTTTGGCAGTAGGTAACTTCAAATGATCTAAAAAATTTTTTTTTTTTTTCCTCGTTTTTTAGTTTCCTAAAAGTTTTAGATCGATTTAAATGATTTAAAATATATATCGGTGGATATTATAATTTTTTTTTTATATATAAAATAATTAGAGTTTTATTTGGTATAAAAGTGTAATTTTCAAAAAAAGAAATTACATTTTATGAAGTGTAACATAATGCATGTAATTGCGTATTTAGCCACTTTTTCTTTGCATATTTGCATCATATATATTTGACATTTTTTAAATGCATATAAATCCGGGCTCTAATTATTATAACTATAAAATAAGCATATTAAACCCATTCTTATTTCTTATTTATTCTTTCATTCTTGGAATTCACTGTGATTTTTGTTTATGAATTATAATTTAATATTTTATTTTTTTAAATTCTTTTGAATGTTTCAATAACTCAATTTAAATTATAATATCCATTTAACATACTGATTATATAGTTTTTAAAAGTATTTTTTTGAAGTAATTAAAATCTAAGTAGATATATTAAATTAATTAATTTAAGCTGATAAGCATTTGAATATTAAAATTAACTAACTATAAAAATAAATTCTATACATTATATGTATTGTTGTATTTTAAGGTAAATCATGGCAATTTTATATTTCAATATTATTTTATATGTTACTTATTAATATGCATTTACATTACTATTATAATTATTTATCATTTTAGTTCAATCACCACCAAAGTTTGTTAAAGAACCAGTTGATGAACTACTATTTCAAGTAGCCTCTGTTAATAATCAAAATGAAAATGATAAACCTTTTATAATTGATTGTGAAGCAGAAGCAGAGCCAGCTCCGAAGTATGAAATTAATGTTTTTATTAGTAAATTTATATTTTGTTTTTAAACAATTTTAAATATTTACAATAGGTATCGATGGATGAAGAATGGAAAAAATTTTGATTGGCAAGCATATGATGACAGAATTGCTCAACAACCTGGACGTGGTTCATTAACAATTACCAAACCTAGAGATGAAGATCTCGGTATAATTGATTACTAATTTTGTAATTTTAATATCAATTCATATCAATTTTATTACTTGTAATTAGGTCAATATCAATGTTTTGCTGAAAATGCTTGGGGTATAGCTACTTCAAAATCTGTTATGGTTGTAAAAGCTGAATTAAATTCATTTAAAGATGAGCCAGTAGCATATATTGAAGCTCAAGAAGGTGAGCCATTTAAACTTGCTTGCCATCCTCCTACTGGATGGCCCAAACCTAAAGTATATTGGCTTATACAGAATTCAAATGGTGGTATTCAAAGTATTAACAATAGTAGAATGACACTAGATCCTGAAGGTAATCTATGGTTTTCTAATGTGACTCGATATGACGCTAGTAGTGGCTTTACCTATTCATGTGCAGCATCATCATTCTTCAGGAGTGAATATAAATTAGGTAACCATGTGGAATTGAAT